ACTTGCGAGCTGTTTGAGCAACTGTCTTATGAGAGCGCCACTGATCTATATCTGATCTCTCAAAAGACCGCCTCTCAAACAGCTCGCGATCAGCATAATTGTCAAAATTAGTTATTAAAGTGACAGCAGCCTAATAAACTGGCTGCTCCCTGTCTAATTAATCAAAGAACAAAATACAAAGAGGAAATCACTCGCTTATCTTGTTTTGTAACTTTAGTTGTGGTGTAGCAACTTAGAAGCATATTGAAGCTGAAACCATAAGTCTGCTCATGCTTCATTTTAAATCTGAGGATGTTATCTCTAAAAATATGAATTTTATGAAATATTTTCTACGATTATTTCATGTGTGTTTTTAGAGAAGGCTAATAAATTAAGTTTTATGAAACAAAGTTCAGGAGGAGCACGTTCAGGTAATCAGCCAATCAGCACATGAGGAAGCCAGTGTAAATATAGCCTTCCCTGACCTCTGTCCCATGACAGTTTCACAGCATCCTTCCACCACCCCATCACCTCATTCTCGGCTGGTTTCTATCCCAGTAAAGGAGGGAGTACTCTGGATTCGGGCCAAATTTCGAGCTCGGAGCCCTCTCCCGGACAGCATGCCAAATACGCATAAATTACTATATCTGATTTCATGTTCGTGTGAACTCGTGAAAAGGCTTATACAAATATTTATTGCAGTCCATTGTCTATGTCTGGTGTGATGAACTCAACTACCCCATTCATGTTTTTATTGTTCTCACTCGATAACCCTTTCACACCTCTGCTGGGTATAAGACCTATAGGCTAATCTTCATTATTCTTTTGTTTTTATTTAGAAGCTATTAGCCTTTATTTTGGGATTATGGTTTTCCCATTCACATCACTTTGATCCCATATACATGTATCCACCTTTATAGAAAAACAAAACAAAACTTACTATGAACTTACATGAAATTCTTTTGACAAAATATAAACATTTCTCTGGGTTTCTTATGTACGGAAGTAATGGAACTGACCATGGAAGTGTAATGGAAGTTCATTATCAGAAGAGACAGGGCGGGTTATGAATGCGTAATATGAGTGTCATATGTGTAGCGAATGATCTTCCTCTGAGTCATAACAGCGATCGCAGAAGTGAAAACAGGAAGACAGTGCTGGAAGCCGCAAATGCTCATCAGATCGTGTAAATCAGTGGAAAATTATTAGAAAGGATGATTCTGTCTATAAAAAACAATGCAGTAACCATGTGTAATTATATAAATATTTCCAGATATGAGCACCCTTGGTGTCATGATTATTGTCTGTGTTCCCCTAATCCCCTGTCTTGTCCCATGTTTAGCAGTTCCCCTTTATGTTTAATGTCTAGGCCTATTAGTCTCCCCAGGTGTCTCTGATTAACCACGGCCCATTGTTATCTTGTTTAGCTTGTTTCCCTCTGTGTCTAGTTCAGTCTTTGTGAATTCTTGATGTTGTATGTTGGTTGTTCTGTTCCCGAGTCTGCGTCTGTATTTGGCAAGTTTTGAGTTTATTAATTAAAAGACTACTGCTGCACGTGGATCCTGCTTTCTCCTATGTTTCAACTGCAGCGTTATACTTGGACTAAAAGCCCTAATAAACACTGTTCAGCGAAGCTATAGTGAACACAAATAAACTGGAAGAGACGTGACTGAATATGAATATGTGTTGTTCAAAATAATTACAGATACATTTTTTGCAGTCCTGACATAAATTAAGAAATGAATGTCACTGAAACCAAGTTTTATCATAAATAGTGGTCAATTATCGAAGCTGGAGTCTTAAATCTTTCTAATAATACTCAGTTTGTCCATATCAAGTAAGAGTGTGATGTTTTAAAGTCCCCGTGAACCGGAAGTTGCGGTTAGTGGGCGTGGCTTTTTTTCCAACTAGCACCTGATTGGATCTAGAAAAGTAGGTGTTTTCATTCAGCCTGTCTACTGTCAGTTGGAGGGGCATGATTGCGGATGTTAAGCAGACACCCAAACCGTCATCAGGGAAGGTCCTCCAATGCAGAGGGGAGGGGAAATTTCATATTTTGATTAAAGATTACGAAGCCAAACATTTTTTTTGTGTGGATTGACTTGCATGGATGAATTGTTCACCACAAAACGATCAATTTAGGCAAACAAAGTAAGTATGGTCAATTTTGAATTCATGGGGACTTTAACGTGCAGTGAATGTTCAAAGGAGTGTTTGCGTTTAAATGAGTTATATAGATCAATGGTGTGCACGCTTTTAGTGCAAGCATGAAACCTGCGGGAATGAGCAAAAATTATGGAGAGGCTGCTCACTGCAGAGTCATGGATGGAGCGTGAAGTCTAGCTCCCCCTCTCTAATGCACAACTAACAACAACTAATGCGCATGATGTCATCGTTTTCACAAATTCGCGTTTTTGTGGTTTACACAGAGACGATAACGGGATCATTTTCAAAAACTTGCACTTTTGAAACCCATTTTCAGACATTTTCAGTCCCCCAAAATAGGTCTGCACGATTAATCGCAATTTCCATGTAATCGCACTTTAAACCAATTTGGCTTATCGCGATTTTGAAATCGCAAAGGCTGCGATTGTTTTTTATGCGCATATTGTCATTGATGCAGGGCTCGAATTTCGGCGTGGGTCTTGCGCATAATTCGAATAATTCCCGCAGGTGTCCCATTTATAATGCGTGAAATTCCCGCAATCATAATCCACACAGATAATATAATCAAATCATTCTTTTAACAACTATCTTCCAGACGCAATTTCACAAACAGCGTGAGTGTTCAGCGGTTCTTCTATCTCTTCTCTCATAATGTGTTGTGCAAGGCAGGCATCAAGCGCTGCGGCGATAATACACACTCGCGTTTTGGAGTCGGGACCATAGACTGTAAGGTCGGGACATGACGGAATATTCACTTGCACAATCGGGCCAGCAGTGCATCATGACTGAAGTCTTTTTTAAGTCTTACCAGTTTAAACATTCAAGCGATTTTAAACTAATCAGTGCTCGCGCGCTCTCTGAGAGATTATTTTCTAAGCGCACATTCATAGAAAATCCGCCCCAAAAACAGCTGGCCAGTAACTATTTTTCGCGGATTATATTGCTTTAACACCCAAAATTCTCAAATTCGGTCTTTGCGAGTAGGCTATACTCTAAACATAGTCGGTTTTGTCTTTAATAGGCCTAAGCATAAAATGCATGCCAGTATAATGAACACAGGATCTGTGCACTAGCTCTTAAAGTGACGGCAGCCATATGTGTCTGTCATTAATTTTGTTGTCAAAACAAAAGATAGCTAAGTTAAAGGAATCAGGATTAATAGCCTATGTATTTAATTTATTCAGGACTAAAATACTACCCAGTGTTATTTTCCATTTCATTACTTTATTCAGTTTCTGTATATGAATACTAGTGTTAGACCTACTCAAAACTTTTCTCTTTAATTGTCTTTATTTGTATCTTTATTCTATTGTATTTATTTGTGCTACTTTTTTCAATTTAATTAAACAATTTAAATCAAGCTTCCTTGTGATGTGTAAATTCTTAACAACAATATTACCCCATTGTAAAAATGCAATGAGCGCAAACATTTAGGCAAGATAAATGTAATAATTTTGTTTGGAAAAAATGCACACAGCGTTTACACAGTTGATTTCAACGGAGAGAGTTGAAGCCCAACATGGGCACTCACTTCCTGATAGCCAAGCGTTCTGCGCAGGCTCAAACTGAGCTTGACGACGTAGTTGTCACGTGAGCAACCGTTCTGACCTTCTAGTAGCTGTGCCGGGACAAATCTGAATTGGAATCTGAAACAAATCTGTTGTTGAAATATTTTGTCCCGTTGCTTTTATGAACTCTCTATCTTTGGGCTTCTCCCTTGACTTTATGCCTCCATGTCCCCCCGATTGCCTCATAGACAGTAAACGATTGCCTACGAGCTTCTCCTTCTGTCTATACGGTAATTTCTCTACTGTGCGACAGAGCGTCCCGTGGTTATGACGCAATCGTTAGCCTATTTTTACAAGAATGGCTTCTACGGGGCCATAACGTAAGATACAAAGTAATGGAGCCTTTTATCCATTGTCCCGTTTCTTGAGAAATAAATAATGGACAAATGGAGTCTTTGGACGCCTCAGATGTAAAGTTATTCGCTGTCAAAGTGACGCCAAAATGAATGGGAGTCAATGGGATGCTAACAGCAGGTGATAGCCAGCTACAATGGCGGCCCCCGGAGGCAGCTTCAACTTCCGGCTGATGGATTACCCCCTTGTGGTGCCCGATAGGGATTTCCTGGAATGATGCGTGTTATTGTACTTCTGTAGCGGGGCATATTTGGCGTGTCTGCGTGAGAGCGCCCTCTGGCGTTCAGATGAAGCAGCATTTACTACCGATCAGCCCTACTGCACTGACAAGCTGCGCATAAAAAAAAACGCAAATCGCGTTGCGGTTTTGTTGCAATTAATTGTGCAGCCCTACCCCAAAACACCGTTTTCGTGTAAATGAACAGCCAAAATGCATAAAAAGTTTTCAGTTTAAGTTGAAAATTGTGTCGTATAAATGCCCCTGAGTTTCTGTTTTGAGATTTACGTGGTCATTTGTTGCTATAGTTACCGTTTAGTTCACCTGTGTCTTGTTTAGTTGCTTGTTTTTACCTGTGTATATGTGCCCTCTTTTTGTTCTTGGAGTTGTCAATTGTTGTCTATGCGCTATAGCTGTTTCATTTACTTTGACCTTTTGGATTATCTTCTTCTGCAAATTGCATCCACTTCTTCATCTTCCTTTTACTGCAACATGACACCCTTATTGTTAGTAAAATGATCAAATGGGATGTTCTCTTAATGTTTGTGTAACCATTAACCAAGAAAAAACTAGACATTTTGAATATTCAGAGAATATTCAGACATAACTGTTTCTACATATGGCAAAAATATCTCCCAGAACACAATTTTGAGATTACTCTTTTGACAAATATGTTATGTGTCTGCTTATTACTTATCTATTTTTGTGTATCTCAGGGTGTCATACCAACTGGGATGATATTTGGTGCTGGTACAGAGCAGAAGTTGGACAGGTAGTCAATGTCTCTTGTTCCGAAGTGTCTCAGCTGTTTGCAACCAATCATGGTAAGCTACTCTTATCCCAGGCAGCCTTTTTATTATTATTTTTTATTATGGCTGTTATCAAATATCAATGAGAAAGACATTTTAGATGAACAAAGCTCATTTTTAAGACTGAATGTATTGGTTGAATCAAATGTCGAGGATTAGGTGAATTGCAGGAGCTTTTTATCTGTGCATTATTATGAGTACCTTACGAAGTCTGACTAATACATAGACAGCTATGTCATTTCATACCACTGCCAAGAAGCTTGCACGGTTCATGCCAGATCATATCCTTTGGTTGGTCTCTTGCATGCACTCAAGCACGACAAACAGTCTTTACTGACACACCAACCCAGGGCAATAAAAGTGACAAGGCAAACATACACAGCGAAACATCATGAGTGTTCTATAAATTCATAGCTAGAGCTCTGAATATCCGGATATCATAAACTTTGTTAATAGTTGCTTAGGGACACTGAGTGTATTTGTTTTCACGGGTTGAGTAGATTACAGTTATTTCTCAATGTGTCTTAGCAACATGTGAGCAAGCAAATTGTACTCATGATGGACTTTAAGTGTTGTCTACAGGAAATTGGTACCAATTTTTTACACATTACAATTCAAAACTTATGATTCATGCCAGAGGTCCTAATCAGTAACAAGATTACTTTTTTTTTTTTTTTCATCCTGAACATAAAATGTTACACAATCACCACCTTGATGGTTAATGTAAGTTATGAGAAGAGGGATTTTAGGTCAATAAGATTTCATGGTGGGCAGGGCTACCCAGAGGAAAATAAAGTTAACTTTTTTAACCCTCTGGGGTCCTTCGGCCCAAATGGACCCGAAGCATTTAAATATTTTTTTTTTTTAAATCATTGCTTTATCGGAATGGTCCGAAATTTGGTGACTTTGTTGGTACTTGGCATATGAACACCCCAAAAAATTGGGGACAGGATTTGAATAGTCTAAGTGGTTGTAAAAAAAATAGTCACACTCAGGACCTTCGGGTCCAAATGGACCCGCATAGGAAATGAATGGGAAATTGGCAAAAATGTGAAAATACAGAGTTATTTTGTGCGTACAAACTACAAATCAGCCACGATCCAGAAAAAAAGCACACAACAGTGAAGGGGTGAATCTATAAAACATCAAGAGTGCAAAACAGACACATCCACACACACACAAACACACACACACACACACACACACACACACAAACACACTTTTATACACATACACACTAATAAATTCAGATTACATATGGGTTTTGAATTTTTAAAATGCTCAGTTTGTCCACCAGATGGCATCCATCTCATTTCAAAAATTGCTTTCATGAGGCCTAGGCTTGACTCTAAAATGAAATACAGCTTTAAAAAAAAAGAAAAGAAAAAAAAAAAGAAAAAAAAAAAAGATATATTTTTTAAATTTCTATTATATTCAATGGGGAAAAAATGGGTCATAATTATTGCATTAATATTAATTATAAATCATTTTTATTTTTGAAATGATCTCAAAACACCAAAAAAGAAAAGAAAAAATATTATAAAAAACAAGTAAAAAAAAAAAAAGATGATTTTTTTTTAATAAATATTAATCCCACCCTTCCGGCCCATTTGGACCCGAAGGTCCTGAGTGTGACTCTGAAATGAAGGACCCCAGAGGGTTAATCTTAATGTTGTTGCGTCTGTAATGACACATTTATTATGATCTAATTGAAAATCAGGGTTACTTGTTTAAAATTGTTTTGTTCAGTTTGACTAAAAGCAAATGACACTCCCAATTGAAAATAAAAATAAAAGAAACAAAGAAACTTCACAATACTTTTAAGGTTGTCTTTATAGTAAACTAAATTAAACATTCATATTACAGTTAATTTAGCTTTTGTTTATGGTGAAATTAAGTTGTAAAAAGCAGAAATATATATATATATATATTTAGTAACGGTTTGGCTTATGTCTAAAGACAATATATTTAAAATGACCACCACTGAACTGTTTTGTTGTGTTTTTGAGGAAGATGAGAAAAGTGGGAGAATTGATAGTCTTCAGTGTTCAGTTATGCTGGGATTTAGAACACCGCTTCAACTACACTGGATACATAAAGTATATGTCTTTGATGCTTTCCTTAAGGACTTAGCATTTAGCATTCTAATATGTGCCATTGCTCGCTAACAGTTTATACCACCTTACATTTAAATTTTGTGCATGCATTGTGCGGATGCATTGCATGCATTGCTTTGGTTGTGCTTCAGTTATGCACGACTTTGCGGAAGCATATGGTTATCCTACTGTTTAGGATATAAAAATTTAGATGTATCATCCAGTTTAGATTTAAAAGAACCTCAAGCTGACCTGAAGGCGTTACTGTAGCTATAGTAACGTATTCAGCTAGTCAGCTTGATATATATATATATATATATATATATATATATATATATATATATTATATATATACACAGTGTATACCCATTAGACATTGTACTTTCTTGAAAATAAATTATAGCACAGAGCTACAACAACCATAATGAAATGACCCCTTACAATAGCTAATGCTTTACCATGAACTCTGTTAGAGAGCTACATATGTCTTTTATTTATCTGTTCAATAAAATACCTTACTCACCTGTGGAGTTAAAAAAAACGCCATCTCTGTGTCACTTTTACAACATTTCAAATCCCTCAGTTCTCGTCATCTAAGAAAAGCCAAGCCAATGTTGATTCTTATTTTATTACGAGCTCTGTCACGTTCTCTTTTTGCAAGCAGATCTCTCCTCTGTTCTGCATTTTTCAAAGTAGCTGAAACAACTTTTCTCTATTTACGTTTAATATGATGAGACACACACGGGCGAGTGATGCATGTACGCAATTTCCTGTGAAAACCTATTCTGACAGGTCTAAAATATAAACACTTATAATAGGGTATCAACACATTTTGTTTTGTTAATTTTTAACTAAAAAAACATTGCATAGTCTACCTATAAAAAAAATTAAGGTTTAAACTAGGGATGCACCGAAATTTCAGCCGCCGAAAATTATCGTCCGAAAATGGTATTTTCTGTTTTTGGCTGAAAGAGAAAAAAAGGCCAAAATAAATGATGCCCCACCTCTCTGTGTTCAGTTTTTAGCTGTCTTTTTTTCTTTTCTTTTTTTGTTACTTTGCGAGTGGCTCTGCTTCCGTTCAGTCAGCCCAAGCAAACGCTCCACTCATGTACTGCTACGCTCCCCGGAAAAGCAAAGTCTGCACAAATAACGTGCCAACATGAAATTTCTCTGTAATAGACTTGTTTCTGTTTGCAATAGCCACACTGTGCTAACATGGTGTGGTATAGCCGTGCAGGGTAATGCTGGTAAAATGACGCTACATTCTCGTTCACTGCTCTGCTTCCCTGTCTGCTCGCATGCACTGGTTATAGCTTTGTAGGACTCAACATTATTTTGATAATTGGTCAAAAGATAAATCTGATAAATCTGATTATTTTGCACACTGTAAAAAATGAATCATGGGTCTTGTAATTTTCATTTAAAAATTAAGGTGATAATTAAAAATATTGTGTATATTTTATTAAGAAAATTGTGGTTCAGTGTTGTATAGAAAATATTGAGAACATTCACTAATAAAACCAAGAGATACATTTTCCCATTTTTTTAAGGAAACATACACAATTTTGAGGCTTGAATTGAGGAACCGATTAAGCTGATAAAATGAAGGAAAAGGGGCTACCAATTTATTTTAAGAGAATTAGCTCAATTATGCGGTTTTATTTAGAGACACCATTGTTAGTTCCCTGCATGCTTTGCACATGGCTAGTCATGAAGTTTTGATCGATACCATTGTGCAGAAGAGTAGGGCTTGTATAGTAAGGTTGTGAATAACTGCATGTATTGATACTTTGAAGCATTTTGCTTTGATCGTTGAGCAAAAACTTTGTTATAATGCTAGTGCAGTAACAAGTTTGATTATGTGCTGTGCTAGCAGCATACAGTCTTTTAATAATGCAATATAACTCAGTCAAATATAAAGTCAAATATAGTCAAATAAAAGGTTATTTCCATTTACTCTAATTCACACACTTTTGAGCGTCAACTTAAAATAAAAAAAGCATATTTCACTAAAAATATTAAATTCATTGTATCATAAGCCCCTTTCACACAGCGCTTTGAACCCGGCAAATTGCCAGAGTGCCTTCTGTGTGAACGCAAACACGACCCGGGATTGATGCCGGGATCGATGCCGGGTTGGGGACCTAGTAACATTGCCGTGTTCAGACCCGGAACGCGCGCTGTGTGAACAAAAGCCAGAACCAATGCCGTATAAGGGGTGTGTCGTAGTGATGATTCACGAGCCTTTGCAATGACGTAGTTATCGTGCGGCTCAGTTACTCTAGAAGAAAGTTTGTGTTTGTCATCGATACAAGAAAGAACGAAAAATTGTCTGCAAACTGGACTGAAGTAGAGACCCGTCACATCCAATGTCACGCGTCTTTCCGGAACATACACGGGTTGTGTGTGAACGCGCTCTCTGATTCCGGCAAATCACTGGCAGTGTGAATGAAGCAAAATCAAACGAACCCGGGTCAAATCCCGGGTCACTTTATCCGTGTATTTTCCGGAATCTCTGTGTGAAAGGGGCTATAGACTAAATAATTACGGGGATTTTACATGATTTATTCAGGTAGATTCCATGAAAGAAATCAAGCCTATTATCAATATCAAATATTTTTTTTCATTAAATAGCAGTAACATTTTTTACAGTGCATAGAACTAAACGAAGAATATTGATATTTAATATTGTTTTTATATTTTTTTCTGTCCAGTTTTGGTCTTACTTTAAATACAAGTGTGGTTATTTTATTGTATTGGCTTGTATTTTGTCCTTTCAGATTCAACAAAGTGATTGATTTTAATGAAAAACTCTAATATCAATTCAGTTATACAAAAAAAAAAATTTAAAAATAAGAAATTCAAATTTATTTTTTATCGTTTTCGGTTTTCGGCCAAGTGCATCAAGAATTTTAGGTTTTCGACACAGAATTTTCATTTCTGTGCACCTCTTGTTTAAACCAAACCATACGGAAAAACTAATACATTTGTTTTAAAAAAAAATGTGTATCTCCTATTTCCTATGGTGGACTGAAAAATAAAGTTACACACATTGGCATTGAAAAACATTTAAAAATCACGAACCTAGCAAAACTACTCCAGGGCTTTTGAGAAATCAATGTGGAGGCTAAGAAAAATCAACACACTCATGACACAACGGCTATCTGCATCATGCTGTTTTTCCATCCCCCCACACACCTCTATGAATACATAAGTACACAATGGACCTGAAGATATCTACATTGATCTGCTCCAAATCTTGCTGAAAATGTGCCAAGGAAATAATAAAAATATTAAAAATCAAAGAGGGTTAAAGCAGGCATAATAGCAGGGGCTGTTAGCGCTGGTTGTTCAATCTCTTCAGTCCCCCTAGGCCAGTGCCTGACATCTCCACCACAGAAAACAGCAGCGGTCAGGTCCTCAGTACTCTCGTCTTCCCCCACTGTGGCTTCTGGGAGATATACTTGCAGCACATGATGAACTCTGTTTTATGGTAATGCTAGAAACAGCGGGTGAAAAGAAATCCCATTGGCAAGCTAGCACTGAACCACCCACTTAGCAGGCCTTCAGAATGGCCGAGACAAGTGTAGGTGAGGAGACAGAAGGTCATAGGTTAGCTGTAATGTCAAGTCTTACAGAGTTAACTGAGGCTTAGTCTAAATGAAGTACATCATGTAAATGCATACAGATATATGAGCTTATTTGTAGGCTATTTTATTCATTTTCTATCTTCAATCCTCTTGAAACCTTGTTTTTAATTCTTGCAAACATTTTTAAAGGGACAGTTCACCCAAAAAAAAAAAAAATTCTCTCATCTTTTACTCACCCTCATCCCATCTGTGGTGTATATGATTTTCTTTCTTCAGATAAATACAAACAAAGGTTTTATCTGTGAGTCTATATAATGCCTTTGAATGTTAAATGGTTTAATGTCGGTTGATGTTTGAAAAACCACAGACAGCGATTGTGACAGTAATCCATACAAACCCAGTGGATGAATCAATGTCTTCTGAAGCGTTACGATAGCTGTGTGTAAGAAAGCGTTCATGAGAGGGATGTTGCAAGCTCTCTTGAGAAGTGGTGGTCCTCTGCGTTTCTTCTTGCACAAACTTTTTAACGCGCTTACGTCATGTGTCACAACGTCCTTCTCATGAATGCTTACCGGTATATGACAGACAGTTTAGAAGTGTTTATTTCTTCAAAATGAGAGAAATCTCTTACAGGGCAGGTGGTCCATTTCATATTAGTGTCATATCCTTAATTTAGGATATTTGAAAGCATAGTTCACAAAACAAATAAATGCAAATATATAATGCAAAACAACTAATTAAATTACTTGCAGGCAAGTTTTAGGTCAAATGTTTCCTGAAAAATGTGTTTCGATTATTCCTGCTCTCTTCTACTATGTAAAATAACAATGTGTCAATACAAATAACAATTATTTTCAAATGTACCCTGAGTCCAAATTTGATGTGCACTGTTTGATTTAACCTTTTGGGCAACAGCTAATCAATATTGCATGCAATGCATTTGTTTGACATTTTTCTTACCTACTGTAGGCATGATACATGGAGATGATTAAATTATAACAGAATATTCATTTTTAGGTTATTTAAAGGTGCACTCAGTAATTTCTTACTCATTAAAAAGTCTTGTTTTCAAATAAATAAATAGCAATTTTGAAAAATATGTTGAAAATCCTTTATGCTCATAAGTTATTAATCACCTCGTGTTTGCTGGTGAGTTGAGATTGCATGACCAGCCTAATACTTTATTTCACTTCTCTCATTAACCTCTCTGTAATTGGACACTGCGCTCACTGAAGAAATGAATCATGGATGACTGGCATTTCTACAACTTAAACAATGACATAACCTCGTTGTTCACACAGACTCAATGGAATCAGATTTATATGGTTGACCAGCTTTTTACAGTATGTGTCTCCTAGTGGCAGGTTGCCTCACTACTAAGTTCTGTTTTAATACTGGGAACACTGGTTGACAATCCAATCAAAAGTCCAAAAGAACTCCTCATGCTAGTTTATTTTCCAACCAGAGAGGGAACATCTGATTCTCAGTAATGCTCAATGCTCAAATGGACCATTTTGCTGAAATTGACCATCTTCTACCGAAAAATGATATAACAAAAGAGAGCATTTGTCTTTAGAGCACATGATTAACTCCCTCAGCACACAGTGTATTAGGGTTTGAGTGGGCTTTAGAACCCAGAAGCTGTAATGTGCTATCACAAGGTTCTCAAGAGAAAGAGGTCTTTGATGAACTGCTTGCATTGAACCATTGAACCCTTTTTTTTTTGTGAGCAAATAAATTCTAGTGCTCCCTAACCAATTCGGGTTTAAGCGCTTTGGTCAAAGAGAGTGCTGTTTTTCAGAGATGATATTCAGTCAGACATTATTATATGATATTATATGACATACAGTAAACCCCATGCAATTAAGCTGTTATAATCAAACCAGTCAGGTTTATACAAAATTATTTTATCTTTCTGAGCTCTCAATCCACACATCTACATATCATGAAATACAACAAAAGGTATAAGCAGACTAATAAAAACATAATCGCTTTATTGTCAAATGCTACAGAGAGGAAGGACATGTGGATTACTGTAGCAGAGACAGTGTCATCCTGGTATTTAATGTTATTTGAGTTGAGTTTATACAGTAGCTTCATCGAACATTTCATAATGAGGGAAAAATCTAGGACAAATAAAACATCTGTTTTGTTTTTGTGGATAATTCCACAGAAAAGTACTAGGTGTATCTGTCTAACACAGGCAATGTAATGAGCAGCTGTTGGTGTTTGGAGTTTTATAAGTTTCTTTTTGCCAAATGATGTATCAAGATGTTGCCTGTACAATGTTGCAAGCTGATAATTATGTTTAACATTATTTTAATGCAGGTTTCATACTTAGGAATTGCACCAAGAATGGCTGGACGAAAATCTACCCATCCTATGAGAATGCTTGTGAGATTGTGGAGGACGTGGAATCGGAAACTGAGGTGAAAACTACTATCAATTTCTGAGTGAAAATTATTTCTATACCAACTTTAATTTTTAAGTGTTAGACATCCTCAAAGAATCTTCCCCATAACCATTCTGTATTTGTATTTGTACTTTTCTCTTTCTTTCTTTTTTTTTGTAGAAATAAAACACAAATGCTGTGATCTTTTTCCAAAACGTTCAAAATTAGATGAAGCCTCATGGGTTTTGGTTTGCTTAAGGTCTCCATCAAATATAGTTATATACAGTATGTAGTTATTTTTACCCTAATTTCAGTTTGTGTTCACTGGCACAGAAGCAAGCAGGGGCGTTGTTACGTTTCCAAGATTCTGACCTGGATTTTTTGCCTCGTTTTTGCATAATGTTGAGAGTTTCTTAGCTTTTAAAACATTGTCTAAAGGGACTTTGTACTGTCACGGCTTCCTCTGCTCTGCTGTCAGGCCCACATTCTGTTACTCGAGCATTTATGCAGATGTAATAGAGAATGAATTGAAAACGCCCGCTCACCTCGATCGTGCCACACATGTTAAGCTCTTTACCACTTTTTCGAAAACATCTCACTTTACTCTCTGGGTTAAGAACTTGAAAGATCACTTTGGTTTTGTTAATAGTTGATGGGAGCGAATTAAAAATTATTTACTCACCTCAAAGCATAAATATCTTCTCTTCTGCCTGACAATTTCTTTATATTTATCTTTTTTTTGTGCCAGAAGACCACAGTGAAATGGTAATGAGAATAGAGACAATACTTTGAATAAAATAGATGAGAGTGTTCCTGTTGTGAACTAACCAATTAACAGTAGTTGAATCAGACAGACAAGAACATAATACTCATCTCTCTCTCTCTCTCTCTCTCTCTCTCTCTCTCTCTCTCTCTCTCTCTCTCTCTCTCTCTCTCTCTCTCTCTCTCTCTCTCTCTCTCTCTCTCTCTCTCTCTCTCTCTCTCTCTCTCTGTGTGATGCATTTTTATAATAACTCATAATGACTTTCAGCTGTGTCTGCATCAGGGGAAGTAGCAATGTGGTTATAGATGCACATGAAGTATAGTTAGTTGCATATGCTGTAATCCCAGAACAAGCTGACCTGCTTTTAATGTTGGCTTTGTCTCAAGACTTAAAAATGCAGGATGCAGAGGTAGGAATGTTTGCATCTCATCGGTTCGGTTAAGATGCCTTTATCTGTTTTAGAATTTTGAAGACAGCATTGTTAGCATTCCCACAGCTGACAAAATTATGTTCTAAGAACATTTAGCTGTATTACTGTATTTATGAATGCTCTTAACATTTAAAAACATCCAGTTTTTTAAATGTAAAATTTGCAAACATTATAGGAATGTAACTATTGAATGTTCTCTGAATGTTCTGAAACAAGTAGTAACATTTAAAAAACTTTAGATGAACATCAAACTAAAACGTTTTTTTTTTTTTTTTTTTTTTGCTAATGTTTTGAGAACATTAGGCTATATAAGACCAGATAACTCTGAACGAAGGTTCTATTAATGTTCCTGGAAGAATGTTTGCTCATAACTTTGAGAGAACCTTGCCAGAACGTTAGCCAAAGTTATATTTTTTGTTAGCTGGGCGTTTTCTGCCTACGATATCCCTCAATCCTCTGTGTGCAGTTCACAGGTTGGTAGCAAGAATAAAAATGGCCTCTGATAGAGCATTACATTTATTCATACGTTTCCATTTTTCCATGAACATGTTTAAATAATTGAAAATAATAACGAATTTGACTTTTTTATATACTTTTTTTAACATGACTTTATATTTGCTTGGCAGCTGCATTGAGGTTGTGGCATAAATAACAAACGACTGAATGAAGAAATGTTATTATTTTATCATTCATTTTTAATGCATTTTGCTGCACTCTATCATTGGTTGAATATAACATATATTTTAACATCCATTTTTCAGACCTTATAGTGAGACTCTTTTGTTCTTTTCTCCATCCAGCCTCATACCCTCCATGATTCATGACATGTTTAGAATTATTCAAATTGAATCTACAATCTACACAGAAATTTGTTCTACATCTGTGTCAAGAATAAGGCCCAATAACAACAGAAATGTGAAACATAAAGGTTGAAGTGCACCAATCGAATTGAAAAGACATTATTTTCTAAAAATAATTGTCTTTTTATGTTTTATTTTTCCCCTCTATTCCAGACCACATATTACTCCACTTTCAGGCAGGTGTACACTGCGGGCTACGCTACCTCTCTGATTTCCCTCATCTCTGCCATCTTTGTGTTTACAGCCTTCAGGTACTGCAAGAATCCTCACTAAGCTCATGTAACCTCACAAAGATCAGTAGAAATTTTAATCTGTGAGAGTTGTGTGACAATTTGTTGAATAATCTGCGAATCAATTTTACTCTGCTCAAAACAGGAAGTTCCACTGCACCAGAAACTACATTCACATCAATCTGTTCGCATCCTTCATCCTGAGAGCCAGTGCAATCTTCATCAAAGATGCAGTTCTCTTTGCCGACGAGAATCTGGACCACTGTTTCATGTCAACAGTGAGACTCGCCAACTGTCACACGCTCATGCAGAATTTTTTTTGTTTGTTTTATAAACGTCATTCAAAATAATGAGCTACATAACATATTAGGTCACAATGCATGATGCTGCAGCATTCATCTGGAACAGTAGAGCACTTTCAAAGCTTTACACCAGTTTCTGTCTGCATAGTGACACTAACTTCACATGTTTGCATCCATTTCTTTGCCCCTGTCAGTATCAGCCAACTCATCTGTGCCTTTAAGGCACACTTTTCAAGATCTGCCTCCGCTAGAACTGAAACACCTTCTTTGAAGTATAAAAAACACTTCTTCATAGCTAACACTCCCCCCCCCCTCTCCATCCCCCCTCCTCTGCGATGGTATGTGTGCTGTTTCTTATTAGCACTACTTAATTCTCATCTCTAACATTATGCTGTGCTAATGTCTGAGCACTGCAATAATTTCATACTTTAATTTGCAATGCAGAAGTCTTGAAATTTGCTACAGGCTGTGGCAAATTTCTATGGTCTTGTATCTTCAGTGGAAAGATATGTATTCTAAGAATACATACATCTTGATGGAACACTTACAATCTCTAATACTGTCTTCCTCTTCAGACCTCTTGCAAGGCAGCGGTGGCTTTCTTCCAGTTCAGTATCCTGGCAAACTATTTTTGGCTGCTGGTAGAGGGGATGTATCTACAGACTCTTCTAGCTCTAACCTTTGTCTCACAGAAGAAGTATTTCTGGTGGTACATTCTTATTGGCTGGGGTAAGTGGGTACTATAGCAGACTTGAGAACATATTGTTATATGATATGATTAAATATTACTACACTACTGGTCAAAAGTCTGGAAAAATTAAAAAAAATTCTGTATTTGAAAGAGGTTTTGGGTAAGTAAGATTTAAAAAATAATAATAATACTTGTATTAATAGTAGTGTGATGCATCTATTCAAAATAATGCACGTGAGACAGCATTTCTGTCTTTTAGCCACAGCTTTACTCTGTATTTCTGCAATCTACGTAAACGTGCACCCCTGAACATTTCCCAACACTATAGTTACGCAATCTCAATTGTCTCAAATGCAAAACTTTTAAGCATTCAATTCATCACAGGTAGGTTAGGCAATTTTTGGAGAGGCTAGCAATATCAAGCTAGTTTTTAGAAGCATAAGATCCCACCCTTCCTTCAGAGCATCTCCAAAGACTCGCCTCTTTCAAAACACATGAACGCACACAGCAGGGAGCAAATAAGTTTCATGACAATTCAAAATAGAAAAGTTATTTTAAATTGTAATATTTCACGAACCACTGTTTTTACTGTATTCTAATTAAATACAGCCTTGGTCTGTCACACTTACATGTCACTGTCACAGCTTGTTAAAAAATAAAGATGAATGAAAAGGATCTAAATGCAGCAGCTAGACTTTATTTACACAAGAACTAAAAGAAACACTACGCAGGAACAGAATCAACTAAGGTAAAATTAATGAAAACAGACCAAGATATAGCCCCTAAAGGGACCTTTGCAAAAATAAAATATACAGACTTTCACTTGCTCATGAGAAACGCATCTCGTGCGCACGAGAAAACTATTGAGAGATACGTTACTCGTGAGCACGCGAAAGCCTGTATATTTTTATTTTTACAAAGGTTTAAATGAACACAGAGCTTAAATGCGGTGAAACAAACCAATGAACTAAATGAACATCAGGTGAAAACGAATCGATTACCTAACGTAACCTCGGTTCCCTTTCGAGGGAACTCGCGATGCGTCATCGACGCTTTGGGAACACCCCCAGCGTGAATGCGTCTGAGCATCAATGTCAACTAGTCCAATGGAAAGAATGAGCGTCACGGGCGGGTGACGTCATGACCAGGAAGGCATAAGAGCACATCCGGTGAAACGCGGCATTAGCTTCTGTGTCTCAGCAAGAGATCTGTGTCATTTTGTCTCTGTCTATTTACTGTTGTCTGTTGCGGAAAAGCTATGGAAACGAAACAAGTGTACAAACAGTGTGCTTCTCCCTGCCCGCGTTATTTAACGGGTGGGGACACACACGAGCTTTGTGTCATTTGTTTGGGAATGGAGCATGCGGTCTCTGCCTTTGAGGGGGCTGAGTGTCAACACTGTGAAATGTTACCGCTTCGCATGCTCCGCTCTCGCCTGTCACTCTTTGATACTGAGAGTGGGCAGGCTCGCGATCCTCAGGGATCAGTACCCGCGTCTGCCGAGGCAGCGCAGAGAATGCATTCCTGGGGATCGCAAAAGGATCTTTCGGAGGGGTTGGAGACGGGTCCGAGGGCCTTTTCTCCTTCCTTACCCGAGAGATCCAGCGCTCCCCCCCCCCCCCCCCCGGTGTCGGAAGCACACTCTGCGGTTTCTTCCGCCCGGGGAGAGAGCCCTCCATTACTTCATTGCTCTTCCTCTGAGGAGGTCGATGCTATGAGTTTGGAGAGTGAAAGCACACACATGGGGGAAAGAGATTCACTATTTATTTCCCCAGCATATGATGAGCTGGTGGATGTTATGTCGCGGGCTGTAGAAAAATTAAAGATTGAATGGCCATCTGATAAGAGGGGCGCTCGTCCTAAAAGTAAATTAGATGAGCGCTTTTTATCTTCTACTGCTTCATCTCCACCACGAGGGCTTCCATTTTTTCCTGATCTTCACAATGAGATTTCTAAATCATGGAATAAACCATACTCGTCACGACTTTTCAGCCCTCAAGTTAATATTTATTCGAGAATTAGAGGGCTGAAAGAGTATGGTTATGAGGCGATGCCCCAGGCGGAACAGAATTTAGCCAGCTATCTTTCCCCTGGTCCCGCATCATCTCTGAAAGCCTCGGCTTTGCCCACTAGACCGCTCAAAGCCACTTCGGTGTTAGTGGGTAAAGCTTATACGGCAGCAGGTCAAGCTGGAGCATGTCTGCATACTATGGCAGTGCTTCAGGCTTATCGAGCTGACCTGCTGGGGGATCTGGATAGTAGTGAGGGAGTCAGTCATGACGATATTCGAGAACTTCGTCGGGCTATCGATCTTTCTCTCAGGGCTACTAAGGAGACCGCCAGAGCAATTGGGCGGTCTATGGCAGCTTTGGTAGCTACTGAGAGACATTTATGGTTAAATCTTTCTGAGATTAAAGAAAAAGATCGTGCTTTTTTGTTAGATGCTCCGCTTGAACCTTCTGGTCTCTTTGGTGACGCAGTCCACGTGGTCGTCGAGAGATTTCAGGAGTCAAAAAAGCAAGCTGACGCTTTCAAAAAGTTTATCCCTCGCCGTGTCCAGCCCCCTGGGGCTGCTGGGCGTGAGCAGCCCCAGCCATCAAGCTCATCATATTGCGTGCATCAGAAAGAGAGTGTTGCGTTCTCGTGCACCTCCACGTGGAAACTGGAGACAGACGCAACCCTCTCAACCAAAGTCTTCTAAGTCGAAGCCGGATCTGAGGACCGTTCTTCAGGCGAAGAAGACTTCGGCTCAAAAAAAAAAAGGTCCTGATGTTCATGCATCAGGCCTGTGAGGACAGCCCCGACCGAAATAGAGTGGTGTACACCTCATTATACGGTGCCCGTTCCATTTCGGGGTCCTCACGAGACCGTTCTGCCAACCCTGCCACCCTCGGTGCTTCAGGGCGCAGCGGTCTCCAGCGAGTCGCTGACACTATGCTGCGGCACAGCATCGGTTTCGCGCCCTCTGAGGGGGGCTTTAGAGCAGCCAGTTCAGGTAGTTCCTGCCATTATGTTTCAGGCTCCGGAATTAGCTGTCTCGATAACACCAGAGACCTGCCTCGAGAGGGTGGTTCCCTTAGTAAATTTTCTGGCAGCGTGGAAGCTTCTGCCGAATATTTCTCGTTGGGTCCTGCAGATTGTAGAGGAAGGATACAGAATCCAGTTTGGTTCTCGTCCTCCTCGTTACAACGGGGTGCTGCCCACAGTGGTGCATCCCGAGCAGGCTCTGGTAATGGAGCAAGAGGTAAAGGCCCTGTTAGCAAAGGAAGCTATAGAACAGGTGTACTCACCCGACAGAGAGTCGGGTTTTTACAGCCGTTATTTCATTGTTCCAAAAAAGGATGGGGGGTTGCGTCCCATTTTAGATCTTCGTCTGTTAAATCGTTCAGTACAGAAACTCAAGTTCAAGATGCTGACACTCAAACAGATCGTGACTCAAATCAGATCCGAGGACTGGTTTGTCACGATAGATCTGAAGGACGCTTACTTCCATATCTCCATCCTCCCTCAGCACAAGAAGTTCCTAAGGTTTTCTTTCGGGGGCAAAGAATACCAATATCGGGTTCTTCCTTTCGGTCTAGCTTTATCACCCCGCACGTTCACGAAAAGCGTGGATGCAGCTCTAGCCCCTCTCAGGCTTCAGGGCATACGTATTCTGAACTACATCGACGACTGGCTGATTCTAGCGGAATCAGAGCAGTTGGCGGTTCGGCACCGAGGTGTCGTTCTCGCTCATATGCAGATGTTGGGGTTAAGGCTCAATGCCAAGAAGAGTGTGCTTTCTCCAGTACAGAGAACCACTTTCCTTGGTGTGGTATGGGATTCAGTGACGATGCGGGCCACTCTATCGCCCGTTCGTGTAGCTGCTATCCTGACAGCCACCAAAGAGCTAAAGCTAGGCCAGTCACGCACTGTAAAACAGTTCGAGAGACTGTTGGGTCTTTTGGCAGCAGCGTCCAACGTGATACCTTTTGGCCTGCTGTACATGAGACCTTTACAGTGGTGGCTAAGGACCAGAGGGTTCTCCCCGAGGGGAAACCCACTTCGTATGATCAAGGTCACACGGCGGTGCCTTAATTATATGGAGGAAACATTGGTTCTTAACCCAGGGTCCAGTATTGGGAGCTCTTTGCCATCGTGTTACTATTTCGACAGATGCTTCCCTGACCGGCTGGGGAGCGGTAATGGAAGGCCGCTCGGTTCAGGGTCTGTGGAAAAGTCATCATCTTTCGTGGCACATCAATTGCCTGGAGATGATGGCTGTCTTCAATGCGTTGAGACAGTTCCTCCCAGACCTGAGGGGCCATCATGTGCTTGTACGAATAGACAACACATCAGTGGTCTCTTATCTGAACCGTCAGGGGGGTCTGCGGTCGCGTCCGCTTTGCAAACTGGCGCACCAGATCCTCCTGTGGTCTCTGGGGAAGGTACTCTCCCTGAGGGCAGTGTATATTCCTGGGGACCAGAATATTGGGGCAGACATCCTGTCGAGGCAGGAGCTGAGGCCAGGGGACTGGAGACTCCACCCCGAGGCGGTGGAGAAAATTTGGGAGTTTTACGGCCAATCAGAGGTGGATCTGTTTGCGTCTCAGCATACGACGCACTGTCCACTTTGGTTCTCCCTTACTCACCCAGCCCCCCTGGGGCTGGATGCTATGGTGCAGACGTGGCCGAGGCTACGTCTGTACGCATTTCCCCCTGTTGCTCTGCTCCCAGGAGTTCTGGAACGAGTCCGCCAGTACGGAATAAGCCTACTGCTTGTAGCACCACGCTGGCCGAGTCGGATCTGGTTTGCGGACCTGATCCATCTCTTAGACGGTCCTCCCTTGGAGATCCCGATCAGGAGAGACCTTCTGTCTCAGGCCGGGGGCACAATATTTCACCCTCGACCAGAGATTTGGAACCTGTGGGTTTGGCCTCTGAGGGGGCCCAACTCATAGAGAGTGGTCTCTCAGCTGAGGCTGCTGAGACCATCCTAAGCTCCAGAGCTCCAGCTACTAGGAAACTTTATACGCTTAAATGGATAATTTTTTCTGTA